CGTACTGCCCGTCTACCACATCTCTACCCTTATTTTTGCTACTAGCTATATTTCAGTAGTATTATTGTTTATCAAAGAAGTTTCTCATCATCACGATTAGGTGAATACCTCGGGCTGTCTTATTGTCTCTATGCGAACTGCAACGATCACGTCGGCCATCGCCTCTACCGCACCTGTGGTCCTAGGCTATTTAAACGATCTCTTTTGAAATATTCTGCTGTACCGATGCATTTCTTAACTACTGTGTACCAATAAGGAGTTCAAAGGCGTTTGCCTATTATTCCCTGAATAAGCCTGGCCTGACCTGATCCGTGGAAGAGGCCAGGTAAAAGGGTATCCATCCAGAGCGCCTCCAGATCACCGCTCGAAAGAGCTTTGCTCGTACGAGATGCACTGCATTTGAGGGGTTTTGCGGCTTCTACTTAACACAACAGACCACGCGTTGCCATTGCTACCAGCCAGTGCAATGAAAATACAAGTGATAAAAAAGGAAGTCAAAAGCTATTGCAAAGGTACTGAAAATGCACCAACGATCGTCGGCGCTATTAAAAGGTTAGTCTTGGCTATTGGATTTGCGTTCGCACAGGAATACTGTAATATTGGACAGGTGCTAATAAAGATTACACAGTTTGGGCATTACAGAGGCAGGGAAATGTGTTTAAAAAGGAGAGCCTATAGATACAAAAAAACAAGAATAGTTTTTTAAATAATCTCTCGTTTGACACCAAAAAAGCGTGCCATATGTAAAATTTGCATGTACACAAATATGCAGAACTGTCCAAATTTGTGAAACGCAAACGACTACGATTTTCCGAGATTAAAGTAACGTTTAGTAAAGAAAAAGTAAGATATGAACAGCATGTCACTAATAAATCTGAACTTAAACTACCAGCTAAGCAAGACTAAATTAAACTTACTGTAGAAAGGCCAACCAAAATAATGTAAGCTAACTAACTAAAATAAATTTCAACAACTAAAGGAAGATTAACTAAAATAGGCAAAACTAACCAAAATAAGAACTAATCTTACACGAAAACTAAAATTGAACTGAAATATATTATATACACAGTGTTATATAAACTAACTAGGTAATCTTAGGTACAATAAAATAGTACAAACGGGAACTCGAAAGGCAACCGTATGCGGCTAATAAATCTAAAAGCAAACCAAAAAACGAAAACCTAATTAAACTAACTAAACAAAGGTAAACTACAATAAACTAATCTACCTAAACTAAGAAGAAATCTAAAACTAAAAACAGAACTACTTAAGCTTAGTAATAAACTAAAAAATAAACTGAAACTAAACATTAAAAAGTGAAATATAAGGAAATTGGTTGTATTTTTCATTTTAGTTATTGTGCACTTTTTTGGTGGCAATCATTGAGCCAAACCTTAGATATTTTAAACAATTTCTGGGAGGAAAACTTAAAATCCACCCACAGGTTGGTAGGTGAACGAAGAAGAAGGAGACAGGGCCAGGCTTACTCAAACATAAGATCCTCTTCCTCCGTAAGTTGTAGCTTGAAAGTGCGAATACTCCTATCCGTCGGATAACGCTCATTCACTGGCATGTAGGCAATCGGGAGTTGTGGGACGGCATTCTCATCTGAAAACAACAGCATTGTACAACATCAAGCGGCGGAGGCAGAGAGCATGTTATGGTTTGGGACAACGACTGTTACTGTTACTGGCAAGCGAGAAGCAGGCGCAAACTGCGCTTTACTCGGCACAATCTAGCGAATTACAAATGGCATGGAATTGAGAGCCACGATTGCAGTTACCTGATAAAAATGCAAGTGAAATCTTACAAAAAAACACTTTGACTCACATGGCCAGTTCCAGGCTGGATATCCGCAAAGGTGGTATATGTAGGAAGAAAGGAGAAAAAAGGATATTCTTTCAAAATTGTAATCTACCATTTCATACTAGTGATAATGTTTCAGTAGGCATAACGTTACAGAATAAGTTATCAGGAGTAGAAATACAATACCGACGGAGACAAGGGAGACTGGAATGGCCATTTTCGGCTATTTAGCAATAATAAACCAGGAATACCAAGCCCCGGGTGCTGCATCATCCGAAGTCCGAACAACAGGTTGGGGAAAAGGATGACTACAGTAGACGCCGCGGATCATGCAACATTTTAACATAGGCGAAAGATTGATACTCTTTCGCTAATCGGTATTGACTCAGGATGTGATAATGATTTACCATGTAGTATAGGCGAAAGATTGATACTCTTTCGCTAATCGGTATAGACTCAGGTTGTGATACTGATTATCGTGTAGCCTATTCTGAAGTTTATTCCGTCATGATAGGATGCGGGCTTTTTAACGAGCTTCCTTCTGACTACCAGCAAAAAAGTATCTATTGTAAAAACAGGCTGCTTA